GTCCGGCTAATCAAAAGTTTCAATCCATGGTGACACTTGCATACCGTGTTTTCAAATCGATGATGATAGCTGTGAATGTCAGATAATATTTTGTTTTAGAGACACTAAAAATTTAATTAATAAGAATTCTTTGAAACAATATTAAATGCAACCAAATTCTTAGGATAATTTTAGGATGATTTTGCTTTTTAAGATAATTTTAGGATCATTTTTCTTTTTAGGATAATTTTAGGATTTTTCTTTTTGGAATAATTTTTCTATTTCATTACCTTTCTTTTGCATTTAAAATTACAAAACTTTTTAAATATCCTTTAAAATTAATAATAATACAAAGATTCAATCAAAATTAACTTTATACTCATTTCTGTCTAATATTTCATTTTACCTATTTTAAAGATTTTAAAAAATTTTACGAAAAAAAATTATTATTTTAGGGTAATGAAACGTGTGGAAAAGTTGAAGAGAATAAAATGTTGGTAATGATTGAGCTTGAAAATGGATCTCAAGAAAGTTCCACTTATATAGCTAGAAATATCCGGAAAGTGGCACAAGGTTGTTCAAATTATAATCCTCAAGCTTGTCAACATTTAGCAAATATTTGTGTTCTTCAAAATTATCGTACCGAACAATTATCTGCTTGTACAGAATTGGAGAAAATTACCAACTCCTTACTTTATAAACGGTAATTTGATGTAATTTATACTGTTTTAAAGTTAAAGTTTAAAATGAATAAATTATTATTACTCTGAAATAAGAAATCATAGTTAAAATAAAAAATTTAATCACCGGAAATCATGATCATAAGAAATCACAATTTCTTTATTCATATGAAATCATAAATTTCTATTGTATGTATTTGACAAATAATTTCGATCTTCATAAATTTTGACCGCTCATTAAAGTTTTTGATTTTAAAACTAAAATATTCGCAGCAATGATTATTTGTGCAAACTTAAATTAGCATTACTTTAATTTTAATTAATTAACAATTCATCTATTTGCTGATCTATTCTATTGA